TCCCCATTAAAGGTTCACGGCGCCATAAGCTCGATGAACAGGCTTTGTGTGAAATATAACAGAGTCTAGGACTGCTTTTAGTATCCTGGTGGTACAGAGGTAACGTTCCCCGGTCACAGTCGTGGGCTCGTGGGCCGTCGGTTTGAATCCTGGCGGGGTGAGGTGTTGATTGTATGTACAAGTCCGCGTGCTTTATTGGGCTAATGAAATATATATGGATCCTCATGTTTCGAAGCCAGATTTGGTAAAACGTTACTCTGACCACCTCGTGATACGGGTAGTCCCCATTAGAGGTTCACGGCGCCATAAGCTCGTTGAACAGGCTTTGTGTGAAATATAACTGAGTCTAGGACTGCTTTTAGTATCCTCATGGTCCAGAGGTAGCGTTCCCCGGTCACAGTCATGGGCTCGAGGGCCGTCAGTTCGAATCCTGGCGGGGTGAGGTGTTGATTGTATGTAGAAATCCGCGTGCTTTATTGGGCTAATGAAATATATGTGGATCCTCGTGTTTCAAAGCCGGATTTGGTAAAACGTTACTCTGACCTATCCCTCCTCCTAGTCACAGGCCTGGCATTTGACATTATTAGGGACCTGCCACACTTTGCCATAAACAGATAAAATGTACCGGGAACTTTCCCCCCACACACTCATCATTCTCTCACTTTATGTAACTTGACAGAACCTATGAGCCTTCAGGCTTTTACGCCCTTAATGTACGAGTCATAAAGGCAAGTATGAACTTTTCATACTTCCCTGTTGGGCGCTGTAAACGCTTCTGCGCTTCACCTTGCACAGGATGTAAGGGGGTGCCCAATAAACTAGCCCCCTCGGGGGCAAATCTGAATCTGTCACTCTGACCACCTACATGATACGGGTAGACCCCATTAGAGGTTCACGGCGCCATAAGCTCGTTGAACAGGCTTTGTGTGAAATATAACAGAGTCTAGAACTGCTTTTAGTATCCTGGCGGTCCAGAGGTAGCGTTCCCCGGTCACAGTCATGGGCTCGTGGGCCGTGGGTTCGAATCCTGGCGGGGTGAGGTGTTCATATGTAGAAGTCCGCGTGCTTTTTCGGGCTAATGAAATATATATGGATCCTCGTCTTTCGAAGCCAGATTTGGTAAAACGTTACTCTGACCACCTCGTGATAAGGGTTGTCCCCATTAGAGGTTCACGGCACCATAAGCTCGTTGAACAGGCTTTGTGTGAAATATAACAGAGTCTAGGACTGCTTTTAGTATCCTGGTGGTCCAGAGGTAGCGTTCCCCAGTCATAGTCGTGGGCTCGTGGGCCTTAGGTTCGAATCCTGGCCTGGTGAGGTGTTGATTGTATATAGAAGTCCGCATGCTTTATTGGGCTAATGAAATATATATAGATCCTCGTGTTTCGAAGCAGGATTTGGTAAAACGTTACTCTGACCACCTACGTGATACGGGTAGACCCCATTAGAGGTTCACGGTGCCATAAGCTCGTTGAACAGGCTTTGTGTGAAATATAACAGAGTCTAGAACTGCTTTTAGTATCCTGGTGGTCCAGAGGTAGCGTTCCCCGGTCACAGTCATGGGCTTGTGGGCCGTGGGTTCGAATCCTGGCGGGGTGAGGTGTTCATATGTAGAAGTCCGCGTGCTTTTTTGGGCTAATGAAATATATATGCGAAGTCAGATTTGGTAAAACGTTACTCTGACCACCTACGTGATACGGGTAGTCCCCATTAGAGGTTCACCGCGCCATAAGCTCGTTGAACAGGCTTTGTGTGAAATATAACAGAGTCTTGGACTGCTCTTAGTATCCTGGTGGTCCAGAGGTAGCTGTAATGATTGATTGTCAGACCAAAGCTTACAGCCCAGAATTATGTCGCATATAACAGCAAGTACACTACAGACTTCGTGGTACCACCACATTCCGGGTTGACACACCTCAGGTCGACCCTAGGGACTTGACCTCGCCCGCTAATGACATGAGTAAGCCGGGTGACCTACAACCGCACATAACCAAGACACCTGGGCAGGACCACACCTGCACACAGCTATCCAGATCAAACCAGTTTAGTGTTAATTGGCAGAGGTCAAAACGCCGGCTGTTCCTCCCCCATATACAGGCCCCGCAGTCCCGTTCACGGCCTTATTCTGGTCATACTGATTCTCATTCTGGTTGCTGTCATCTCTCTCCCGTTCGGGTCGTCACTCGGTTCACTAAGCAGAGTCACGCACGTCCCATCCCCAGGTCGGGAGGGAGACTTCCCGACCAGACCACGGCATCGCCAGCAAAGCAAATTCTCCCATAGGGGGCACCCCAGCCAAACATCCACTGGGCCTACGTCAGGGTACACGTGAGTCTTGTCAGAACGTCC